TGGGGCGGGGGTTTCAGCCCCCCCCGGCCAAAAAACCCCCCCACCCGGCCGGGAGAAAAAAATCCCCCCTCTTCCCCCCCCCCCAAAAAAGGGAAGGAACAAACACGGGCCCCCCCCCCCCCCCCCCCCCCCCCCGAAGCATAACCTTACCTAATAATCAACTTGAGGTCCTCCGAGACCCTATCCTGGACGACCCCGAGCACCCTCTCCATCTCCCCCAGCCGCAGCAGCCCCTGCACCACCAGCTCAAGGTCCCGCCGCATCTCGTCACCCCCGGCGCTAATCGCCCCCCCCGCCTCCCCCCCTCTACCGTTGGTGGCGGCATCACCGCCTTCGCGGTCGGTGGCAGCAGCAGTCTCCCAGGAGGACAAGCCGTCGGCGGGATCACCTCTACCGTTACCGTTACCGCCGGTCGCAGCGCCGCCTGCGGCGGCGGAGCCGACGACGTCGACGGGGATGGTTACCGCCAGCGCCACGAAGCGATTGCTGAGGAGGCCGGACACCAGCTCCTCGTACTCCTTGAGCTGCCTGCCGACGTTCCTGAGGCTGTGCAGCTTCCCCAGCTCGTTCTTGACGGTGCTCTTGGCCGACTGCAGGATGTCCAGCGCCCCCAGGTAGTCCTCCGCTGCTAGTAGTCCCTGGCGTAAGCGCGAACGCACACGGGGTGTAATGTTATGTACAGCGGTTGGTACACGAGCAAGCGCTATTTTGGTTTTTGCAGTCACGAAGCAATTGAGCCAAGTGTTTCTTGGTGTGGTATGTCATCAGGAAACAAATGTCAAACTTAACGGTCTTCTCCTGCTACACAATTTGTCCATCAGGGTTAACCCCGCTCAAGCCTATCACGTCCGTCAAATTAATTAACCGGCGGACGAGCGGAACAAACCACGGCAGAGTAGTTTCCTTCTTGTGGAAGCCACCACAAAAGCCAAACGACCACGCGCGGCAGAAGCAAAAGTAGTGAAAGCTGTGAATTTTGGCGGTCGCAGTAGAGCAGTGGACCGTCGAGCATTGGGACTCTCGGATGGGGGGATCCTGAACACTTGTAGCTGGGATATGCGCGTCGAGCCCTACAAATGGTCCCATGTGGGCAAAAGCCCATTTTGCCCAAATAGGACCGTTTGTCGACTTTCACACGCACATAGTCGCGGCTATTTCAGAATCCGCCCATCGGAGAGCTCCAAGACTCCGAGCGCCGAGCGCCGAGTCCACCACGCGCACTCCACAACAGACGTGCCCAACACATGAAGCTTTCGACGAGACGCCTCCAACGCCGCCATTTTCGGCACCGCCAAACCGAGCTAGAAAAGTCGGTCCACGGGGTGTGTGACAACCTAAGCTACCTGCGGTACACGACCAGAACGTTCAATCACACGCCGACGCAACATACACACCCTTGTACACGGCCTACGTACACACCTCGATAGCCGCCTGAGACTGCTGCACCCGGGCGACAAGCTCCAGCGTAGCCTCGAGAGACGAAAGGTTGCCCCTGCGCCTCTGGAGCTGGGGTACGCGCATCGGTCCCGCGAGTACGTCTTTCTCCATGCAACGCATCGATTCTCTGCGGCAGACGACGAAAACAGGAGAAGAAAAAAAGCGGCCGTTCTCTTTCGACACGCCAAAATGCCGGAAAACTTCACGGTGCGGGGTGCGCGCGTGTTGCTGAAAGGGCGGGGTGATACGTGAGGATTTTGTGGGCGTGAAAACGTTCAAACAGCTGCCGGTCTCTCGCCAAGATAGCGCGTACCCGTGGATTGGGCACGCACGAGCGTGGACATCTTACCTACTGCTGTATCCTCAAAAATCTCTATTGGTGTCCTCGTATTTACCACGATAAAGGTGGTAAAAGAGACAATTGGGGTTGGGTAGGAATCGAGTCGGTTTGTCGATAGCTTTGGTTGCCAAACGCCAAGACCGTATTGCCTACTCCCCCCCCCCCCCCCGAGAGCCTGGTCCGGTGAGAACCCGGCGTGCTCTGTCCTGGCTTTGTAGGAATGCGTCTCACCGGAGCTGGTAGAGTGTCGTGCAAGCGCCGGTGACATGCGTCTGAAGATCCTGGCTGGTTTTCAGCCCCTCAAAGAACGCGTCGGACCTACGACAAAGATAGCGAATGTTACATCTCATACACGATGTTGCCTGTTATCACATCGTTTCGCGATGCTGTACCATTTCGTTTGCTACAGCGCTGTGCAAAACAATTGAATACTATATTTCTACTTGTCTAGTTTTTTCGAATCCTGACAACACGCATCCTATCTTCCTCCGCCACCCTCAACGTGAGACACCTATCTTGAGACCAGGAAGCCCCCCCCCCCCCCCCCCCCCCCCCCCCCACATACCCAAACTTTTTTTTGTTTTTTTGGGGGGGGGA